GCCAGCCATATAAATGCAAGGCAGTAAGCTCATTGGCTGCATATGCAGCATGAACCAATCAGCTTTTGCCAAGTCGTTTAACTCTCTGAATATCATCAGTTACGTTAACACCCCGTCAGCCTGCGCCATCTAGAGTTTCATGACTGAACTATATATTTATAACCATTTTTATGCTCATTTCATTGATTTATTCTTTGATTAGTCATTTGTATTATAGTATTATTTTTATATTATATTATATTTTTTATTATAATATTTTCCATTGTTTTTTAGTCTTATGATGTGTGGTTTGAAGGGCTATTTGTCTTCATGAGTAAGAGATAAGAAAATATTTCCATTTCAAGGTTTTTAACATCACGGGATGTTGTTAAGAAGAAGTAAATTTCCATTGCTATTGATTGTGGTATAATAACACTTGTTGGATTTGTGCTAGTCAGACGAAGTCTGAGCACTGAATCATACACAACCAAGATTATTCAATAAACTCTGCTTCTTTTTTATCATCAAATCAATAAATCTCCTGCTTCTGCTCTTCTCTGTCAGTCAACTTCTTAATACAAAATGGATATTTTCTGACAGGATCTGGCATCCGGGGCTGGATTAGATTTTTCTGGCATGGACACATGATGTAACATTTCGTCGTAGTCGGCAGGATGGAATGACAATGAGTTTTTATCTTCATAAGAGTCAGAGTTGTGATTGTTTCTCGTATGACCAGAGGATGGATTGTCCCAAACCGCTGAGCTACTACTGACTCCGGACCAACAAGTGAGGATGAAGACGATTCGTCTTCCCCTGGCTAAACTTCAGCAAGGCAGTGTGAGTGTGTCCTGTTTGACATTTCATCGAAATTCAGTACCATGGGTAGCAAAGCTAACGGGTCAGATATGATATAATTTCTATAGTTATGGAGGAGTCAGAAGTGAAGTTAAATGATGACATAATTTTGATAGAACAGTTGAAAGAGCATTTTAAGATCAATAAGCAGCAGCAGCAGTAATACTTGATGAATAGTTGCTAAATATACAATTACACACAGTGCAGAAAGGTGATCTCAGCTGACCTAGTGACAACAGAAAATCTGAAGGGGTTAAAAGATATTTGTCAGATTAAACAGAAGGCTAAGTAAGAAGGCTAAGTTTCTCAGCTCAGTGTGAAATTATCATCTTGTCTAAGGCTCTGAGAGGGAGAATTTCATCAGGTTATTTTACAAAGGTTCAATGACATGAGAAACTGGTCATTTGAGAGATTTCTAGAACAACAATGGTTTTTAGTGACACTGCTAATTAGTTTTGGTCAATGCTACCAGCTATTTTCTTTGCTATTTTCTTTGTAACCGCTATTTCATCACCAGTCTTTGCAAAAATATTTTGAAAGGGTGTATACAGTAACATCTAGCTGCTGTGAGGATGTTAGAACACATCTGATTTCTGGTACTATTCAGAAGCTGACATTCTTTTTGAGGATGTAACTACAGGCGTAGTTGGATTAAAACGTAGTTGTAAAGAACATTTAGACAATTTGGAACTCTAAATTGTAATTAGATTTTCTACGCTGTTCATCATTTGTGGACAATGGAGAATGCAAGGCAAGTAACAACAGACTAAAAGTCTAAATCGGATCTAAATTACCAGATATATAATAGACTCTGAACCTTGCTTCTTTATCTGATCAGTTTGTGTCGGACACTTGTGTCGGGTGTTTAAAATGTGTTCATGTTTAATCAATATGGGCGAAGGGATTTTAGGAAAAGTGGAAGAAGTTAATGGATGTGCGATGTTAAAAACACAATTTGCCAACTCTATTCTATTTAGTTGGGGGAAACCTGCACCCTCAGGGCTGTTTTGTGAATTTTAATGTGATAATATAACTTAAAATTCCAAGTTTGGATG